TTTCTGGGGAATGGCTCTACCCTAAGCATGCCATAATTTTGGAACTAGAAACAGTGGTGGAACACTGTTAATGTTTCTGGAGTTCATAGCAGGACACAGAATGGAATGTTATAGCTTACTACTTGTATTTTTTGCATTACCTGTGTTGGTGGACATGGGTAAATTTTTTAGTAGTAAAAGAGAACATGATTTAGAACCTGTCTTCTGTCTGTAAAATAAGTATGAAGTTTCTTTGCTAGAAAGCAACTTAATAGGAAAATAATAAAAAAACCAAAAAAGCATCTCTCTTTTGGCCTTTTGGGTAGGTGATCATCTCTGTAATGGATTGGTTATGAAAGTTCCACTGAGATCTGAGGATTTTAAGATTAGTAATTTCAGCTGTATGCAAGTATTTTAGTGAATAAGTACAAGTTTGTCTGTGTGTGTATATATGGTGTATGAAATATGTTCTTGAGTTCTTGGAAACATCATCATAAGTTTATGAGAAACACAGCAGAGGTAATGGTAGCATTTGTGGAGATTTTTATACTGTACTAATCAGTGCAGGGGAGCAACTTGGCTTGCCAGGTTTGCGTTACATTCCTGGGCTGCAAGAAGACAATGACCAATAACAAACCAAAAAAGTTGAAGATGTTTGGATTTCCTACTAGCCAATTTATATTGACTTTGACTGTCTTAATTCTGATAAATCATGCTGCTCAACAGTATCTGTTTGACACTTACCCAGGTAAATTCACTTCATCAAAATAGCTGTAAATGGTAGGAATTTGTTGCCCTCACATTTGTTCGTCATTAGCATCTCAAACCTCATGGTGGCGCGTTAGGCCAAAGCAGGAGTGGTTTTGAAGTGCCAGTGACTGTAGTGATGTAGAGCAGAAGAGGAGTCAGGTAGGGGTTGTCTTGCTTAACTTGTAGTTTAAGTCAGCAGCAACATTATGTTCTCAGGAATTTAAACTTGTTTCTCTCTCACACAGAAAAAAAACATGAAGGCTCTGCAGGCTGTTTAATATTTCCTCAAAATACTGAGGAATATTCTGGTCATTTATTCTGGTGTGAGGTCAGGACATAGACCACATGGACTCAGAGACTTGGACATTTAGGAGAACACTAAAATCTTGAATTTGGATGTAAACCACATGATAAAACACTGGAGTATAGCCATTCATGGGGAAACAATGTTTTTAGCTTAATCATACACTCACAGGTGGATTGTAACTGAGTAAATAATTACTACAGGATTTGTATTTTCAGCACATGAATAGAATAGTTATCTCTTCACTAAGAGACAACATGGGTAAAGAATACTACTTTAGATGCATATAATGCCATGATAATATTCACAACTGAACCCATTAAATTCATGTCAAAAATGACCTTTCAACACTACTTATGGAAGTCTTTACTATATAGATTCAAGTTCAAAGGTAATACTCATAGTCTTTAAAGTAAAGGAATTTTGAATTAAATAGGTACTTCCTGGCATTTTTCTCCAGATGTAGTAATTTTAAGTTCCTGACTGTTTTGCATTCTGATACTTTCAGCAGTAGGCTGAAAACTGCATTTCTTTGGTAGAAACACAGATAACTGCAACGTACATTAAAAAACCCTTACCTCTTTAAGATGGGTTCGTTCTTTAAAAAGAAGCTTAATTGAATGCTGTAAAGAGTGTTATAACAAGGGACTTTAATTTGTACAGCTGTGTAGACATAATAGCATGCAACTGTTTAACTCTTTTAAAAAGTTCAGCAGTGAAGTGTCAGAGTGGATGTCAGGATGATTTTGAAGTGCTCAGCACGAGTTGTAACTGCTTCTTTGTACTTGTAGAGTGAAATCATTCGAGACAATCCTGGTATCCTGGACTGTGTGAAAGAAGGAATTGGCAGAGTTGTAGGCTTGGGAGTACCCCATAGCAAGCGTCTTCTTCCTCTGATGGTCCTGACTTTTCCCACTGCTCTACACGGAGTTCTTCACTACGTCATCAGTTCCATCGTCCGGAAGCTTGTCATGTTTTTTTTGAAAAGGGATAATTCCCACAGCCTTCCATCTGAGAGCTCCACTTCTGTGCAGAGCATGCTGGATGCGTATTTTCCAGAACTTATTGCTAGCTTTGCTGCTAGCCTTTGTGCTGATGTCATGCTTTACCCGCTGGAAACAGTTTTGCACCGCCTTCATATTCAAGGGACACGCACAATAATTGACAATACAGACCTTGGCTATGAAGTGCTTCCAATCAATACTCAGTATGAGGGAATGAAAGACTGCATAAATACTATAAAACGTGAAGAAGGAATGCAAGGTTTTTATAAAGGATTTGGAGCTGTTATAGTACAGTATACCTTGCATATGGCAGTTTTACAGCTTACCAAAATTATTTACTCAACACTGCTTCAAAATGTTTCTTAATCTGTCCAGGTCTGAATCTAGCACATTGGACATGATTGACTTGCTAACCTAGTATTGTTCAAATGGCTTAGAAAATGAACTTTGGGGAATCCACTCTGTGGATTCTCCTTACACTGTAGAACAACTTGTATTAAAAATGGGGATATGGTTTCCAAAGTGTAATTAAAAAAGGACTGTTTAAAAATTACAGACACAAATTGAATATGTCATATGCAGTCATACAAAGGGGATCAGATTTCACATATGATTGCATTGAGGATTTACTTTTCCTCTTGCCAGTTCACTGACATAAGGAATGGATATTAATTGTTAAGTATCTGTTTTATGAGCATCACATCTGATATTTAATATGGACTGTTAGCCAGTTGAAAGGAATTTATTTTCTTAAGTTATAACGACTTGCAGTTAGGAGACTGATGGCTTTACTGGTCTTTTAAAAATGTTTCCAACTTACTGTTAATGGAACTGAGAGTAAAACAGCAACTGTAAAAGTGACTTAAGTAGACTTAAGTGTTATCATTTACAGGTATATAGAGGACTTGTTTTGCTGTAGTGTGGCAGAAGATGACAAATGGGATTCTCTTGCTTTGTATAAAAACAATGAAAAATGGGTGTGGGACAGAATGCAAATTTGGGTGTCTTGCAGTTTGTTTGCAAGGCTTACAATAACTGTGTGAATCAAGCAAAATAGAAACTGATGTGTGCATGTGTAAGTGCCATTTTTAGTTGACTTTCCACTGACAACTTCAGGGTTTAGTTTTACTCTAATGTTCCATATGAGAATATAATAATAATGCAAATCTGTGAATGTAGTAGTGTAGTGGTGTTCAAAGTGTACATAAAGCCTAAGAAAACAATTGGCTGTTCATAGAGTTTTTATTTTGTTATATTGGAGGGGTGTGTATAAAATTGTCTCCTTAACTATTTAGCACTGATGTCTGTAATTTGAAATCTCTGATAGTTTAAATACTTTGTGGAGCAGAGCTAAGTCTGTTTATGTACAAGGGAACCACTGAAATAATTTTTGCCCTCTCCCCTTTCATACTCGGCCTGAAAATGATTTTTAATAATTCTAAATAACCTAGTCCTTGGTTTCATCAGTAAATGTGGAGGCTGGGAGATGGTTCTTACAAATAAAACAAGCATGTGGAAAGTTACTGCCGGTGCTTCTCTCCCTGACGCCCTTCTTCAGCCCCGGCTAGCTCTTCTGGGGAGAGGTGCGGGCAGGTTTCTAGCGCTTCCCGCTTGGACCCTCGCGGGCTTTGGGAAGCGCTATCAGAATTCCAGAGAGCAGCCAGCGACCCCACGGCGAATTACAAAGAGAGTCTTTCTCTGGGGGTGAATTCCGTTTATTGTAATCCAACGGGGAATACAATAACTCGAAGGGGGCCAGGCGTGCTGTGCCGGTGTACGCCGGAAAGGCGTGGGCAAGGCAGAACGCGCTGGAGCCAGCCAGAAGAAAGCGCGAAATGAACTGCGCAAACAAACTAAATACGGAATGGGGGAAAACCGAACAGCCAATGGGGTAAAACTGCGGGGGGTTCGAGGGTGGTGGGATACGGGGGTACATCCAATGAAGGACAGACAGGGGAAGGGTCCCAGGTCCTTTACCAATCACCCGGTGTCCCGGGTGGAAGATTCTAGGTGGGGGGGAAGGGACATGGAGTGACAGACAGGCATCTGGGGTAAACAGGGGGATGACTTGGCATTTTTGGGGATAACGAACACACGGGGAAAGACGGGAAAACCCGGGGAAAACTGTTACAGAACCGGGGGTACATGGAACAAACCTATACATAATACAAATGTAATAAAACATAAAAAACACAACTCCACAAGTTACTTTTAAATTATGAGAGGCTGCTGCTTATTTCACATTCATGTGGCAAATCTGTTTTTGTGAATGTTGTAAACTGATCTGCATCTTAATCATTAATCATTGTGTAGTTACCACTTATGGAAAGTAGTCATGGTAAAATAATGCAAAGATGTTGCTCTTTGTCAGTTCTGACTTCATATAAGGTCTACTTTATTATTAATCTAACTTTCATGTATTTTAAATGCCTAAGTATTGAAACTGAAAGTATGGTGTTATAAATTTGCGCCACAACGGAACATAATCCAATTAAGAATTTTATTAATTTACAGCAAGTAGGATATGAACAAAGGTAACAGCGCTGGGGAAGCAAATCCAAAAACTTCCAAAAATTCGAAGCTTTGGCTGCTCCGCCGATTTCACTCCAACTGTCTCCTTTTATTCCTATTTCTTCTTTTGTCTCCCTGGAATTTGCAAGTCAATTCCTGTCGTTATCTTGTGTTTGTTTAAGCAGTCCCCTAGTGTGAATGGTTGTTGTGGTCTTTATCTTCAGTCTCCGGTTGAAGTGCTTGTTATCTTATCTAGTATCAGCTGTGTCCGTTTGGTGTTTGCATACCTCCGTGGTCTAACTTTATCTCAATACCTCAGTCTGTATTTTTCTTCTCACAGTTGTCTAACTTTTACATATATCTTAATAAACAATATCCCACTCTGTAGTTTCTCACAATTGTCTAACCTTTACATATATCTTAATAAACACTATCCCAATCTGTAGTTTCTCACAATTGTCTAACCTTTATATATATCTTAATAAACACTATCCCAATCTGTAGTTTCTCACAATTGTCTAACCTTTACGTATATCTTAATAAACAATATCTCAATCTGTAGTTTCTCACAATTTCCCCCCTTCTTCTCTTTATACTATTATTGTTTATTAGACGTTGCTTTCATTCTCGGTACTGTAAATAAACCTTTTTCCACAATCCCAACATTTATCATTACACTCACATGGTAATACTTCACAATTACAATAGGCGTAGCCCCCTCGTGGTATAACACATTCGCAACAATCTTCCTTCTCATTAATAGATGCATTTTTATATTTTTCCCCCGACCTCGTAGTTAAAATTAGCAGTTTAGCTATGTCAAATCGTTTTTTAATATCGTGTACTATACAGCGTAATATACAAGGCCCGAATATAAGTCCCAGAATCAATATAATAAGTGGTCCTGCTAAGGCAGACAGCAAGGTGGTTAGCCAAGGTGAAACATTAAACCAATTTTCATACCATGTCCTACCCGCCTCCCGATCCTTTCTACGTTGATTTAACCTTTTTCGGAGTTCAGACATAGTGTCCTGAACTACTCCCGTATGGTCAGCAAAAGAGCAGCATTCTTCATTTATCGCTACGCATAACCCCCCCTCTTTTAGGAATAATAAATCTAACCCTCTTCTATTTTGCAGCACTACTTCCGATAAAGACTTTACTGAAGTGGCTAAATTTTGGATAGATTGTTCTATTTTTGCTAAATCTTCATCTACAGCCGTCTGTAAACTTTGTAATTCCTGACTTTTTACTAGGGAGGCTATGCCTGTACCTGCTCCGACTCCCCCCGCTATTAGCAGTGTAGCTAAGGTTACCACTGTAATTGGTTCTCGTTTTTGTATATTCAGGTCTCCTTCAAAGTGGCGTAACACTTCCTCAGAAGTGTGATAGATTAGACGAGGAACAATTATCACCTGTACGCAGAACTGAGATTGGTCAAACAGATTTAGGGATAGGCAAGGCGTTACTCCGATGTCTGAACAAACCCATTTAGCTCCTGGTGTCGGGATAGCCCATTTGTCTTTTCTATTCTTGTGTTTATTTATGGTTTTTGTAGTGATTATTGTCGTTTGGTTGCACAAAGGCTGATAATTTTTGGGCACTGTACCAATACATTTTCCTTGACCTGTTACTAATTGAATAGTAATTCCCTGCGTATGGTTTTTTTGGTCATTCCATGGGCATTCTCGTGGGTTTGAACCTCTGGACCATTGAATCTTATCTGATTTTCCAATCGCCTCAAAATATGGTGGTCTAACATTATAACATAACCAGCATTCCTTGGTTAAATTTGGTTTGCTTTCATTAAGGGCACGATAAGAGGCTTGCATTAAATCCCATAAAGGGTCTTTGGGTTTCAGCACACCTGAATCCCTACCAATCACCACGTCATTAGCTGTTCTATTTGTTATCGATAAGGGGTTTGGACAAGTGGTTGTAACACTTGCGGGGACTATCTTTTTCGTCGGGGAAATGGGTGAATTCAATACTTTATTCGGCCCAACAGGGAGTGGATCATGTGGTATTTTAACTTTTCTTATGAGAAAATGCCCTCCCCCGTCTTTAGGAATTCCTCCATAGACACGTATTCCCCATGTTAGTCCTACTAACCACTTGTCTCCTAAGGGCTGTATTACTTGAAATTTGATGCGGGTACAGACTTCCCTGTCTCGTGAAGCCACATAACCCATGTCCCGCAGACCTGTAAGATCTACACCTGTTTGCTCAGGTACACATCCATTAGGAGTCCAGGTTGCTTTTATATATTTATCAGGGGCCTTTACTGACCAGCCCGAGGCTATTGTTTCACATCCCCAATAGCCACAATAATAATGTCCGGGATAATTACAGTAAGACGGTCCAGAAGCCGGGCATATATAAAATGGAGGTCCCTTTCCACAATGTATTGGTACTAAATCACAAAGTTTTACTATGAACTCTGGTGGACCTATGTCGCTAAAAGTGGCTATTGTTCTCGTTCCTTCCCAAGATATTAGTTCCCACTTGAATGGTTCATGTGGGTTTCCCCCTTCTGCCAGGGTTATTATCAATATGAAGACTAACGGTATACCAGGAAAAAGGGTGTCTGTCAATTTTACCAATTTATGTAAATTTTTACCAATCCCGGGGAAGCTCTGTTGTTCCTGCTTTTGCGTCCCATTGTTCTGATTTTTTTCTCCACAGTCTGTTCCTCTTCTGCCTCGCCCGTCGACTCGGCTGCTCCGAGTCACGGGGTGCATCATCTTCTCGGCAGCAAGGGAATTCTTCAGGAGAACAGCTGTTTGGGTTTTCTGCCTGTTTACATAGGCTTCCCACTTTGCAGCTTGAACTAATGGGGCAAAGCAAGACACAGTTAGTACTTCCCTTCTACACTTTATAACCAAGATTTCAGCCACAAAGAGGACAGGTTCATTGGAATGGTAATAATAATATTGAGGGTATCCACATTCACAGCGTGTCCACCATTTATCCCGGCATACCTTATGCCTAAAACAAGCAAATGGAAAACAATTGTAGTTTAAATCATTACAACTAATTCGTATAACTAGAGTACATACATTATTTACATCAGCATATCTTTCATATTCACTATTGTGTGACTACATATGCTTAACAATTTCCTTCAGCACACGTTGTACGCTTCCATATATAATAGATAAAAAAGGAAATAACTATAGCAAATATAAACAGCAATACACACTTTATACCAAAAGGTAATGCAGCAAAAAAATCAAATAAAGTCTTTATCATTTCGTTATCTTTTTAGAGTTATCTTGGTGTCACCTGGAGTACTGATTACTTTCCAGTGGGGTCTCGTCACTGGGCCTTTAATGCGGCTGGCATGAGTCCATCCACGCTCAGCAGTCCGGACAGCTGTTTCTGTTGTCAACAAAACGAGATAAGGTCCCTCCCAATTGGGTTTTAGGGTTTCTTCCTTCCACACTTTAATCAATATCCAATCCCCAGGTTTAACTTTGTGTATTTTTAAGTCCAACGGGGGTCGTTGCACAATCAGTCCATGTTCCCAAAGCTGGTTACGATGTTCTGCTAATTGTGAAACATATTCATTAATCACACGGTCTCTAATTAAAACATTTGTTTGTGGGCTTTCAATTCTGTAGGACATTCCATACACCATTTCAAACGCTGATATTCCTACATCTGCTCGGGGTCTGGTTCTGAGAATTAATAGTGCCATAGGTAGGCATTTAATCCATGATAATTTGGTTTCTATCATTAGTTTAGTCAAAATAGTTTTAATTTCTCCATTCATCCTTTCAACTTTTCCTGAACTTTGTGGATGCCATGGTGTATGGTATTCCCACTTGATACCCAAGCTTTCTGTTAGATCTTTAACAATTTTTGACACAAAATGCGTTCCTCTGTCCGAGTCAATTACTTCAGGTACTCCATATCGAGGTATAACATGTTCAAGTAACACTTTAGTGACTTGGTTAGCGGTTGCCCTGGAGGTAGGAAAAGCCTCGACATAATGTGTTAAGTGATCCACCATTACTAATAAATATTTGTAACGCCCTACCCTAGGTAGTTCAGTAAAATCTACTTGTATATGTGAGAAAGGTCTGTATGCTGGGGAACGTCCCCCAAGAGGTCTCTGTTTTATGTTTTTTCGATTAACCTTTTGACAGGTCTCGCAGGCTGCCGTGACTGTCTTTGCTATATTATATACACCTATACAGGCATACTGTTGATTGAAATGATCAACTAATGCCTGAGTTCCCCAGTGTGTTTTGCTGTGTATTTTTGAAAATATTTCAATTGCTATGCCCTTCGGCAAGACTTCTCTCCCATCTGGCAATATGTATTTCCCATCCTGTTCTTTAGCTCCCATTTGTTCTAGTTTTTCTTTTTCTGCAGACTCAAAACTCAAATTTTTACTAACTGGTGCTTGTTGCATAGTCAGAATTATATTATAATTGCCTGCCACTCGTTTTGCTTCTGTATCAGCTGCATTATTTCCCCTAACCTGATAACTTGTACCTCGCTGGTGTCCCTTTATATGTACAACTGCTATTTTATTTGGCATTTTCAATGCCCCCAGAACTCGACGAATTAATTCCTGGTGTACCAGCTCTTTTCCCTGTGAGTTAATGAATCCTCTTTCCTCCCATATTTTCCCAAAAGTGTGTACTACTCCAAACGCATAACGTGAGTCTGTATATATAGTTCCATCCTTTCCCTTCAGCGACACTAATGCTTTCCACAATGCATACAGCTCGCAGGCTTGTGCTGACCAGCTGGCACTCAGGGGGCCTGATTCCCTTATCTTAAATTCTCCTTTTTCCCACTTAACAATGGCATATCCAGACAACCGTTTACCTTCCACTATTCGTGATGACCCATCTATAAATAATACTTCTCCACTTTGTAGTTCTTCTTCCTCTAAGTCTGACCTAATGCGTGTTTGTTGTTCAATTGTTTGAAAACAATTGTGCAATAGTTCATTACCTTCTCCTGGGTACAAAAATTCAGCGGGGTTAACTGCTCCAATAGTTTTTAAAGATAGTTTAGGGGATTCTATAAGTATTCCCTCATACTTTAGTAATCGGCTATCTGTAAGCCATTTCTCTGCCTTTTGTTGCAGCACTCCCCTGATGTTATGAGGCGCATATAAGATAACTTCTCCATTAAAAGTAATGCGATTTGTTTCTTCAAGTAACAGAGCAGCGGCAACAATGATTTGTAAACAGCTTGGCCAACCCCTGCTCACAGGGTCTAACAGCTTTGATAGGTATGCCACCGGTTTCCTTTGTCCGGCCCATTCCTGAGTTAACACTCCGAATGCCGTTCCTTCGTGTATGTTAACAAATAAATGGAAGGGCCTTTTTAAATCTGGGAGGCTTAAAACTGGTGCTTGACTTAGCTCCCTTTTGAGGCTGGCAAACTGCTCTTGATCCTGAGGAGTCCACTTGGGTATTTTTCCTTTAGGCAATTGTTCATATAAGAATTTAACTTTAGAGCTGTAGTTCTCTATCCATTGCCTACAATACCCAAATAGTCCTAATACCTGCCTAATTTGCCTCTTAGTGACAGGCATAGGTAATTCCAGAATTCCTTTAATGCGCTCTGGGTCTAATATTTTCTGGCCGTTAAACAGATAATGTCCCAGATATTTCACTTTTTCCTCCACAAATTGTAACTTTTCTTGTGATACCCGTAGTCCCTTTTGTGCAAGAAAGTTTAGAAGTCGAATGGTTTCTTTCTTTACATTCTCCTTATTATTCCCCGCTATGAGCAGATCATCTACATATTGTAACAGCACATTCCCCGTTTGTACCTGATATTCTGTTAAGAGTTCTTCTAGGGCCTGTCCAAACAGATTAGGGGATTCAGTGAACCCTTGGGGGAGCACGGTCCATCTTAATTGCTGTCTCCGGCCCGTCTCTATGTCTTCCCATTCAAAGGCAAAGTAATTACGGCATTCTTCTGCCAGCGGACAGGCCCAAAAGGCATCCTTTAAATCAATTACACTATACCAGGAATTATGTGGTCCTAGTTTGCTTAGCAATGTATATGGATTTGCTACTACAGGGAACCGGGTGATAGTTCTTTTGTTTATTTCCCTTAGATCATGTACGAGCCGATATTTCCCATTAGGTTTTTTTACAGGCAAAATGGGGGTGTTAAAAGGTGACATACAAGGCTCTAAGATTCCTTGTGCCAACAATCGATCAATTTCTGGCTTCAATCCTCTCCGTCCTTCTAAGGATATGGGATATTGCCTTACCCTCACAGGTACGTGGGGTTCGGAAATTTGGATTTTAATTGGCGGCATTTCCAGTCTACCAATTGTGTCCGGAGAGTACCAAACATTGGGGTTAATTTGTTTTTGATCATCCACAGTCAAAGGATAAGCGGATACTGCCAATTCTTGATTTTTTACTTTAATTTCTAATTGCAGTTCAACAATTAAATCTCGTCCTAACAGATTAAATTCTGCTTCAGGGACGAGCAAGAGTTCACCCACTCCAAATTTATTTTCAGTTTCGAATATCACATTTTTAATTTTTCTCACCTTAAAGGGTTCCCCTTTTGCCCCAATAACTTGTACCTTTTCAGGGGAAACTTCATAACCCTCAGGTATTTGCTTAATAGTTGATTTCTCAGCCCCAGTGTCTACCAAAAAGGTGAACTCTTGTCTCTGGGGACCTATTTTTAATTTTATCAAGGGCTCACGGTGGCTCCGGTCCCCTAAAATATAGAGCCCCTGACTTTCCTATTCCGTTTTCAAATTTTCCTCATCCCTGATCCTTTCTCTGCAATTCTTCTTTATATGTCCCTTCTTTCCACAGTAAAAACAAGATCTCTGTTCCTTTTCTATTACTACTTTTCCTTGTTTCATCCTAGCAGATCTATGTTCACCAGTTCGCCCTTTGCGGTCCTCTCTGACTGCTGCTACCATCATTCTTACTTGTCGCTTGCTGCTCTCTTCTTCCCGCCTTACGTAGACTTTCTGAGCTTCCCTCACTAATTCATCCAACCCTCTATTCTGCCAGTTTTCTAACTTTTCAATCTTCTTTCTGATATCTTCCCATGATTTTGCCACAAACTGAGTTTTGAGGAGCGCTTGTCCTACCGGATCGTTTGGGTTTACTCCAGAGTACAGCTGAAGGGCTTTCCTCAGCCGTTCCAGCCATTCAGTAGGGCTCTCATCTTTCTTTTGCATTTCATTAAATGCTTTATTGATATTCTGCCCACGGGGTACTGCTTCCCTAATTCCCTGAATTATTATAGTTCTCAGGTCCTGCATATGAGTTCTATGAGCCGGATCCTGATTATTCCAATTAGGTCTTTGGAGTGGCCATTTAATATCTGCTCGAGGTCCCTGGGCATGCTGAGCATCCCACAGTCTCATTCCTGCTCGTCTAATCATATCTCTTTCCTCGGTAGTAAATAATTGACCAAGGATAGATTGCAACTCATCCCAAGTATAAAGGTTTGGTCCCAAAAATTGATCTAATCTTTCTGCTACTCCGAATGGGTCCTCAATTAAGTTTCCCATCTCGGTTCTTTTAAAATCTCGTAGGTCGGCAGAATTTAAGGGTACAGAAATATATCCAACCACAGGTTGAGGTCCACCCATAGGTACTTCCCTTAGGGGGTACATCTGAGCTGCCCCTCTTTGACTTCTAGTTACACGTCTAGGAGGGGGTGGGGACCCTTCTGATTCTGGTGGGGGAGTGGGCGCTCTAGGGATCTCTGGAGGGGCTGCGGGAACAGGAGGAGGAATGTAAGGAGGGAGGGTTAGAAGGATATCGTCTAACTCTTCCTTCTTTTTCTGGGGCTTAGTTTTTGTTTCTTTTAATGAATAAAGTCTAGCCCCCGGCTTTTCTAGCCACACTTCCGCATACAGACTCTCCTCTGGGTTAAAAGATTTTTTATTATTAACCCAGAGGTTTAATTGCTGTCTTACCCAATCTTCTTCTGACCCATAGACTGGCCAAATAACATTCTTAGAAATCTTCTTCCCTCCCCATATCTTAGTACAATATTCTATCATTTTTTGCTTATCTTTCCCTAGAGTTCCAGGGAAATACTTCCAATTATCTAAGATATATGCCAGAGGGGTATTCTTAGGTACAGAGGGTACCCCCCCCATGGGAGCCGAAGGCTTGCTGCCCTTCGCCCCCATCTTCTGGAATATCCGCAAACACACACTCACTCGCTCCTCTTG